GTGAACCAATAAGAATGGACGAGGTTTGCTCTCATTGAAAGAGACTTAGGTTTGATGATGATGGATGCATGGATGAAGGTAAATCGAATATCTCTGTTTTGACCGAATGGGAAGCGATACAAGAGAGATTTTCGAAGGTCGATGACAATATGAAACTCCACATTAAAGAACAATTGAGGAAGATTGCATATCAAGAAACCATCGACATGAAATTGTCTTCTCAACTGGTAAAAACAAAAGTTGCTTCGAAGAAAATGAAGCCTACACCGAATGACAATTCGACTACACGATCTCCTTCATATATTTTAAACACGCTGACAAAGTTTTTCCCGACTCACCGACTCCAAAATCTCAAAAAATAATTGTGAAATGAGTCTGCATTAGCAAGCCACCTTCGACGCCGCTTCCACCTAATATTCCATTCATTGACGAGATGTCGATTTTTATGCACAAATATATCGAGTGTATCGCCAATGTTAAGGGGGAGGGTAATTGCAGTTACCGAGTTGTTTCGGCTTTACTCGGTAAAGGAGAAGATAGTCATACGCTTGTCCGATATCAACTTATTCAAGAGTTGAAGACGCATAAAGAATCATACACACGGTTAAACGAAACTAAAGAAAATACTGCGATTTATGAGTCACTTATTCCTTGCTTTAGGGGTTCGGCACCGGAGGCAAAATGGATGACGATACTTGATATGGGCCATCTAATAGCCTGTGCATATGATAGGGTGTGCATTGACTTGACACGCTACGGGTTTTCGGAAACCCTTTTTCCACTGCACACTGCACCACCTCAAATTCCAAATAATCGTATCACGTGTATTGGATGACGTTCAAAATCAAGTCATTTTGTTCAAGTTTACTTGAAACTGAGATGCCCCATGCCACTTACATCACCGGAGTGGACGACTCATTCAACCGCAAATGTCGAGACGTGGCCGAATCATTTTATGAAAAGGATGCAAGAATTCAATATATTGAACAACATTCAAAAGGAATCGAATGCACAAAAGTCCAAAGGGGTGCCACATATAGATTTAGTCGGTGACACATGTCTCGATTCATTTTGATTTCTTGTGTAACCTGACAAATAATTGTGTCTCAATATAAATGAAGTGTTACATATTCGCTTTTTATTCATATTTGGTCATTATGCATATTTGGTTCATATTTCATGTTAATGTAAGTGTTTGTTATATGGTTCTGTTTTGGAAATGTTTCAGGGAAAGTTCCATCTCCGGAAGGTTATTTTATTTGCTTTGTTTTGAAATGTTTCAGGGAAAGTTCCGGAGATGCATTTTCAGAACTAGATAATAGGGTGCATTTTCGGAGATATATATTCGAAATCAATGACATTCAATGAGTGGTCCATATTAAACTAGGTTTTCTGTAAATTAGGGTGTTCTTGTGTTATACTTCACACAAACTCGAAATGTCTCAAATGTCACAAATAAACATTAGTTAATATGTCGCAAGTGTCTCCTACTTCGGCGGCTCTACACCCGGGAGGGTGTTCAAGCTCACCGATCTCATCTCCCTCGAAGATATCCTAGACGAAATTCACTATTGCTAACCTTACGGAGACAAACGAAGGGTTGTGAAGCTCGAGTATCGTTCACCTTCGACAACGAATGAAACATTGTGTTCAATAAATTTGAGCTCTAGACTCGAGCAGATGTTAGGGCTATTTGTAATACGTATTTCGATTTCGAAAAGAAAATTTCGCTCGAGCTGGAAGCGATACTACGGAGATCAGTCGTAGATTTCCTGAAGATGTGTGAGCGTCACCGGGATATTGAAATGTAGTATCTATTTATTTTTGTTGAAATCATCATTATAATGATCATTTTATGTTATAAATGTCAATTGTATTTTGAAAAGTTTATTTTATATTGAATCTGTTTATGGTGTTTTTTCGAATGTAACTACGAATTTGTTGCGGAGATGCATCTCCGAAACATATCAAACTCAATATATAAGGCGCCACTCAGAATTATCTTACTTGAGCAAGAATGTGTTCATAGATATATCTCCAAAAATAAAGAACATATTCGAAAAATCACACGACACGTAAGAAATTTATAAGGTGGAAAAAAAATTCTCTTAAATCTAATCAAATTAAATTCAACCCAACCCTAAAAACCCTTACTATTCACCAATTTTGTATTCATTTATTGAAATTGAAATCCGTATATCAAAGTACTTGTAAACAACATACACTAAGAGTTTAGAAGATGACTTGTGACATATTTTATCAGTTATTTTAACTCTGAGTAAAGAGTATATTTGGGGTGAATTAGCTCCTAGAAACTACAAATAACTATAAAAAATAAAATAAAATAAATATAAAACTTTAAAAAGGTATTTACGATATCACCAATAATATCTTACCAATCATGAAAAGATGGTCCCTTTTGAAATGGTAACAAAATCTAGAACAATTAAGAGAAGTTTTTTTATAATATAAATCCCACTGAAAGTTACAATAAAACGATTAAGAGAAGTTTTTTTAAAATATAAATCACACTGAAAGTTACAACAAAAAGGTGTTATATCACTCCTACATAGACTAAGTGAAAAATAATATAAATGTATCAAAGAAAAATTCGTATAATATAAATATTTGGAATATTTTTAAAATAAAATTTATTAAAAATATATTTTATAAAATACTATTTTATTAAAATAGATGTTTTATAAAAAAAAATTTTTTTTAAAAGTAAAAATTTTAATTAATTAAAAAATAGACAACCCATCACCCATCTAAGGTCACGTTAGCAGATCTATTTAACGGGATTTAGTAGGACGGGGCAGAGATTCCTTTTTACCCTCCCTAATCTGGAGCACATATCATTTGACTATGATAGATGTACAATGTTTTTTAAGCAGTATAAAAGGAAAATCATTTGTCTAAAATTTAATAGAATAAAACAAATAAGCATCAAGTTAAAGGCTATAAAAACAGTATAATCAAAACAAACTCATACAGTCTTGTACAAACCAAATAGAATAATACTAAACGTAACTGAACGTCCATAATCCATTAAATCTCCATTCGTAAATCAACATACTGGCAGGAAGAGTTCATTATATCTGTAAACTGTTTTATTTTTTTGGTGACAAATATGTGATTTCACAACTGTTACCAGAAAGGGGTGGAGATTCTCTCCCAGTGAGAAAATTACTGGATGTTGTCTAGTGTACATTTCATCCAATTTTTAATTAATATTTTAACCAACAGTAAAGTTTCCCATTCATCCAATTGCACTGCAGGAAAAACCCACGGGAGAGAATCCTTTCCCACCCACCTGAAAGATATATCGGATTTTCTCAACTAAACTCAAATGAATTAGTATGCCTCAGCTTATTTGACTTGCATTACAGTTTGACAAATGCAAACACAAAAATCCCTGAAGTCTGAGATGAAGTCTGAGATGTATGCAAGTCACACAGTGTGACTCACACCATCAGGGTTTAGGGATCATGATAGTTGAACAAATAACAGAATGTTTCCGCTATATCAAATTGGCTTTCTCAACAAAAGGGCCACGAGCTCTCAGATTCACAAATATGTGATGGCAAAAAGTAATGTACACATAACACTTTAAAATAACTTGTCTGGAGTGCATATCATTTTACTCTGATACATGTATATTGCTTTTTAAGCAGTAAAAACGAAAAATAATTTGTTTAAATTTAACGGAATAAAAGAAAAAAGTAATAAGTTACAAGGGTTGGTCTGTGACATTTCTAATTCTACTTTGTTGAAACTTTGTTGTGTTGTTTTGTTATAAGGTTCAGTGTTTGACATGTATTTATTGATAAAAAGAATAACAGATACAAAATGAGAAGGTTTTACAGCATTTCGCATAAATTTTGCATCAACCAAACTCTAGAAGTAGAGCCAATAAACAGTATAACCAAAACAACCTCATACAGTCTTGTACAAACCAAAAATAATTGAACAGTCAATCTCCAGTAGTAAAACTAAAGGCAATAGTTTGAGGATTACAAAAACTTAACATAACTCAACATCCATTATATCTTCATTCGTAAATCAACACAATGGCAAGAAGAATTAATTATATCTGTATATTGTTTGACAAATATGTGATTTCACAACTCTTACCTGAAAGAGATATCAGATTTTCTCAATTAAACTCAAATGAGTATGCCTCAATTTTGCCCACTTCTTCACATCTCTTTTAAATCCATTAAATTATCAATTCGCTCTTGAATAGGAGATCAAGTAGAACATCAATCTTAAACAACTCTATTTGTGTGACAAATTTTCAAAAACCAAATTATTTGACTTCCTCTATAGTTTAACAAATGCAAACACAATGATCCCTAAAGTTTGAGAGATTACAGTCACACCATAAAGGGATCATGATAGTTGAAAAGAATACAACGTTTCCACTATATCAAATTGGCTTTAAGATAAAAGTCTCAGAATATGAGTAGTTTGATCTCAACAGAAGGGCCAAGAGTCGAGATTCACAAATATGCGATCATCACGCACAACGTAACAGAAAGGGGGGAAAAGATAAAACCCTATTACTATTCTAACTTCATACCAAAAATAATGAAATCTAAGCAACATCAAATGTAAATAATGGTTATGTAAACATTACAGAACAATGATTTATTTCCCTATTGCTTCATAATAAACCCAAACAAAACAAAAAACTAATAGTAGCTAAAATTACAGAACAAATATATAGATTACAGAAAATTGATAGATCCATCAACATCATAATCAAATCATGTACAATACAAAATCAAAATAACAAAGATCCGTACATATAATATTCAAGATTCATCTTAACCTATATTTATATAAATCCAATTTGTTAATACAGATCATGGAATTAAAAAAAAAAATACAAAATACGGAACTAATTTTTTTTTCAGCATTGGTTTCGCCACAGTACCAAATTTCAAAGGATCAGGCTAAAAAACCGTTACCGTTTTCATATTGAAGATATCTTCAATTCAAACGCGTCCTGCAACGGAAGGAACAGCGACTGCAGCAGGAGCGCGGAGGAATGAGAGGAATCCGATAGCCTGAGAGTTATCCTGCTCATCAAGGAAAAGATCCTCCGGTGCGCGGAATGCTCCATGGATACAAACAACAGCAACGCCAAGCATTAAAGCAGAGACGAGAACAGAACCAACGCTGGTGAGAAACACAACGATAACAGTGAGTCCAGAGAGAATCGCTAGGGTTTCGAAATCAGTGTAAGTGCGACCGAGGATAACGAGAGGCCGATCGGAGGGACGGAAGAGGTAAAGAAACGTCCAGGAAGCAAGGAGGCCGACGAGGAGAATGAGAGAGAACGGATTCGTCAGGAGAGACACGGCGAGGATCCCCGCAACAATGGCGTAGTAATTGACGCGGAAGTATGAGTAATTTTTGCGGACACGGAGAGTCGCTTCGGAGAAGGATTCAGGCTTTGAGAAGGCGGATCTGTCAACGAGTTCCGTCCACGGGCGGCGCAAGGCGAGACCGTGGCGGAGAGACTCGGAGAGGTTGTTGAGGAGGACACGGACGGCTGGGGAGTTGGCAGGAGCGTCAGATCCGGTGGAAGCGACGGTGGATCCAGGTGGCGGAGGAGGGATGTTGGCGACGGGGAGAACGGGTGGTGCGGAGGAGGACATTGTTGTAACGGTTTAGAGAGAGAAAGAGAGAGAGGTTTGTTGGGAGTTTAGAGAGAGAAAATGAAAAGTGGGGGTTATGATGTGAAATAATATTTGTATTATGATTTTGTGAATCAGAAGTAAAGGGGTTTTTGATCATTTCTTAATGGTTAAGGTGTCGAATCCACCACCGACGAAAAAACGCGGTGCCGTTTGGGAATGTGATTGGTTCATTCTCGTCACACGTCGTTTATATCATGCCAGCGTGTTTAGTCAACAAAAAATGAAACGGTAAATTTTTTTGACAGAATGGAAAATGATAATTTGTATTCCTTTAATTTTAATTAATTTTAGTAACACGTGTCTATGTTAGAAAAAATTTAGCCACTTGTAAAAAGAAAAAAAATGATTGACATAGATATCAATCATTCATATGAAGTATGAGTAAAAATTAAATACATATTTCATGGGGTAAATTAGAGAATGCAAATAAATTTGTAATCATTTAATATCTGAAATACATCATGGATATGATAAAATATACGATGTACTCGTATATGTAAAAAAAATTACTTATGCATCTAACTATGTAATAGTTGAATATATATATATATATATATATATATATATATATATATATATATATATATATATATATATATATATATATATATATATATATATATATATATATATATATATATATATATATATATATATATATATTGAGTTGATAAATTTTGATTGAGACTTACAAGGGAACAATTCATAATTCAAACAATTTAAAAGGTGTTATAAAAGATTATAAGACAAATTGGCAGAATGAGATAGATCATAGGTCATGTAATTGATGTTTAGATTGTTCGACACAAATCTATATACATCACAATTCAATCGTCTCAGTATGTGATTGGTGGGTGAGATATTCCTAAAAGATTTAATTTTAAGGAAGATTGTCAAATAAAACTCTCTTTTGAAGAAAATTGTTTTTCAAATTAGTGATAAAACTGCTCATCCCCCTACTCCAACAAAGTTGTTGGAAACTCATTAGAAAGATGAGAGAATAACACTTTGTTATATTTTTGACTATTAATATGATAATATCTAGAGTTAGGTGTAGAGATGATATAGACTAAGTCGAACTAAATGTTTCTAAACTTAAACTTATCTTTATAAAAATATTAAAGGCTAAATCTGACTAATAGCCTACTAAAAATTTACTTTTAAGTGTGTGTTTGATTTTTTCGAGTAACTGATTGACTTTTAGCCTACTTTAAAATATATTTTATTTAAACAAGTATAAATAATCAATTCAATTAATGTTTATATAGACTAAAAAACTAAAAGATCAATTATATTAACAGTTTTATATATATATATATATATATATATATATATATATATATATATATATATATATATATATATATATATATATATATATATATATATATATATATATATATATATATATATATATATATATATATATATATATATATATATAATGCCAATTCAGGTACTCGATTTTTATTTCAATTTCAATTCACTATTTTCATTCACATATTGACTTGAGCGTTGGAGTGCTAATCTTACCGGTAAACTCCCTCTCTGCCGCACCAGAAACATTGATCCACTATCATCACCGATCTTTACTCCATTTTTGCTTCCAGTACGAAACAATGGTGTTGTTTGTGGTAAATGACTTCTAATTCTTGCATTTCCACAATCTTGTGTTCGCTCTTTAATTCGTCAGTCCAAAAAACCTTCTCAGATCATCGAATTAAGAGAACTCAAAGTTAAACACGAAGATTTGTCGTGTTCGATCCAATCAAGTAGCATTTCAACTCGGGTTTCCTAAAATTCTAGATCTTTGATTTATACGCTTATAAATAATGGTTGGATCCAAAACTACTCGTTCCGCCATTGCGTGAGAAGACGATGTTGCTGCCCCAGCTCAAGCAGTGTTCAAACAACCACCTCTATCTCGTCTACAAGGCATTGTGAATATAGGAGCAGAAGTTTCGTTGCATCCAGATCTAGTCCAGGCTCCTCGGATAGTTAGATTTTTCTAAATGCCTTTAATTGTACCTTAAATTTCCACCTCTAATTTTACAACCTGAAACCTTACCTGGTTTTCAACTACTATGAGCCTACCATGGGTTGCAAGGCACTGACGAGTTCCTAAACAGCATGTAGAACATCATTCGCCAACAAAATTTGCAAGCAATAAAAGAAAGATAACTTCATCTTGAAGAAAGCCTCCACAAGAGCATCCCATCGAAGGGTTCCACCGAGGGACAAAGTAGCGGAAGCGTGCCTAGTATATCACGCCAGAGTTGCCAATTCTTACTCTAGGGTAGGCTCGGATATATTGGCCAAGCACGTGCATTTCTACTCTAAATGAGGAGCTCGGCGTTCTTCGAATGAGCGTGGACCTGACCCCATCAACCACAAAAGGGTCGAGAGACTCGAAGCATTCAGAAGCCTCTTGAGAGCATTCAAAATAGTAGTGCTTCCAAGAAGGATCCGAAGTAGTGGGAGGGTTGACCATTATCCCCACTGGTCATATTCCCCGTCTTAGAAGCTGGAACTTTACTTTATCCTTCATCGAATCTATACATAATCATTATCAAAGAAATCATATCAGGAGTAGAAAAGCTGAAAGCAAAGAGGCTAAGAACTTTTAAAACTTCCCAAAAATTATCTTCCTTTCTTCCCAAATATGAGCACCCACAGACAAACAGGTATCGATGAGGTGTTTCAAGCGTTTCCGATCAGCTTTATCTTGAGGAACACTATCCTTGAAGTAACCTAGGTCGTTAATGAAGTTCATCAAGCGCTTTATCTGGTACAACGCTTCTTGAAAAAGGTCTTCCTCTTTGTACACGTACAACCCATTTTCCATGAGGAAATGATTCTTGGCCTAGTACTTGGGGAACAACTCCATTCCCTCAGAAAAAAAGTCTTGTAGCCTCCTGATGGTCAGCGCCAAAGAAATTAAGCAATACCTCGCCGACGAGTCATAGCGCCACAATGAACTTTAAAAAGATGGAAGAAAAGGGTTAGGGAATGCTTCCCTCCTAAATATTCACACCAATACTGAAAGGCTTTCACATGCGCCTAACTCTCTAGATGATGTTGCGACATATCCACCATTAGATGGTTAAGAACTTCCATCTCAAAACCATTAAAAGGCAGTAGAAGGTTTAAGATCGAGAAGAGACATTTGTAAAATGGAATGGCCCAATCCTAGTATTTGTTGCAAATGCGATCATTTTTGCCAGGGGTCAAGAAACCCCAATCCCAAGATGGACCCACCTTAAGAAAGGTTCCATCAAGATTACCCATTTAGGTAAAGACATAAATGGTTAAAGAATAAACAGAGTCCACACAGTAAGATTGAACATTCTTCTGAGATTTTTAAGCACCCTTCTATGATTTTCTACCCATTATGTTCTAACTTTTTTCAGATACAGAAAAATAAAATATCAAAAGGAAGGAGGATAATCGCAAACTGGAAAAGACAACTAAAAAAGTGCAAAACTGAATTTTCAAAAACTGTATGATAACATGCAAAAGAAAGCAGACTTCTGTCAAATGTATCAAATCACTCACACGCAACACTCAAGTGTTTCAGTTCTTAAAAGTCATAATGAGGGTATCTCCGAAAAGATGTTTGAAGTATGGAGCATTAAAGGCGTGAATCTCCAAGAAACTAAAACAACCATTTTTGCTCTTTCAAAACAAATGAGAGAGCGGTCGACAGCCAAAGCTAATACGATAATTGTTTGCCTTACTATGCATAAGCAAGGGCTTAGAGGACAATTGTTCCAAGTCGACCAATTGATCTGAGCCTACCACTCTAAAGAAACTGCAATTCTTCCAGAATCTTCTCAGTTCAAGAGAACTATTCTACTGATGAATACAAAAGATCCAAACTTCAAGTGCATCCAACAACCCCCCGCAATCCATGCCTAACAAATAGCAAGTTTTTCATTTTCTCTCTATTATATATAAAAGCGCGCCAATTCAGGCACTCAATTTCAAATTCAATTTCAACTCTCTTTTCTTCCTTACACCTCTTCGTCGCACTGAAAGCACTAATCTACTAATCTATCATTATCATCGATCCTTACTCCATTTCTGATTTCAATATGAAACAAAGTATTTTCAATCTATTTGTATAAGTTTGTCAAAATAACTAATTTTTATATTTATATTTAATTTCAAAATACAATATACAATAAATAATAATATAAAATTTATTCATATTTATTTAAATAGATCTTAATAAAAGTTTTTTTATAACTTGAGATTTGACCTTTTAGCTGATTATATTAATAAAAAAATCTAAATCTTTTCTATTTTAAAAAGACTGGTGCATAGCCCAGCCCTTAGCCCTATTTGGTCCAGTCTATTCCCACACCTAGTGGGGAAGATTATTCACTAATTCACATAATTGATAGTTTAAAACCTATTCACCTAAACACCCAATAAAATTTATCTTTATGTAACATCAACTTCAAAAAAAACTTAACAATCCTAATTTTCTAATCACTTCTTTGGTTCGGTTCATTGTGTTTCTAATCTCTTCTTTGGTTCGGTTCATTGTGTTGCAGACTTGTTGTCCACATTTTTCTTCTACAATGGACATTTGATATACATAAGAAAATTTATCTCCCATTAATTTACCAAATCATACTCTATTACTAGCAGAAATCATGCACACATACAATGGAACACTATCTGAAAAATGTAAATGAAGAAAGATAAAACGTCATTGAAGAACATTGCAGCACTTCATTCACAACTATGACATAAACCAGACACCAATCAATCATAGATAGAACTATTATGGCATCACAACTATGACATAAACCAGACACCAATCAATCATAGATAAAACTATTATGGTTTCATATTATTAATAAGCAACAGACGAGTATTTCATCTAGGAATCATGTTGAATTGATCATGCATCATCAATACAACTGTCAATTTAAAATGGTGCCTGATAA